GCTGTAAAAGGATGTTGTTGGACATGATAAACTGTATAAAATTATAGAATTTTTTCTGACCTATAACATTTTTCACTTTATACAGTAGTTATGATATTGACATCACATTAGTAAGAGGAAAACATGAAATGTGAGAAAAATAGTTTTTGGTGAGGTTATTTTGTTTGGATAAGAGAGAAAATGTAAAAGCCATTGGGGTTTTGTTGAATGTTGCTGTGATGATCAGTCTTTGATTTTCTGTTCCCTAAATCAGTGACACTGTATAGATGATTAATGAACAGGCTTGTATTGAGTACTGTTCATTTGTTTCCTTTCATATGTGTAACAAGTGATGTACATTTTATGTTTTAAAGTAGTGAAAGATTACGTGTTTCTAAAGTCAACAGCTACACATTTTAAATTCAACATTTACAGGTCTGCAAACAGCTGCCGCTTCTTGTCCACATTTTCAGACCAAGCCCAGCAGCCAAACTTACCATCAAGAAACTTACAAACCTTTTAACACCAATATTTGCTGAGGATGGATCAAACCAAAGGCACTTTGAGGGAATTGTGTATAGGGCTTTCTGTAGGTACCTGAGAGAGGTACAAAGTAAGTGCTACCTTGTGTGATGGTCTTAACAAGAGTTGTAAACTAGATCTCATTTGGAAATTTCTTTTGTCAGTAGCCAAGTGCAGTGCAATCCCACTATCATGGGTTGGAACCTAGTTTATCAGAAGCATGATAATGATAATAATAATATTGCTATCAGTAAACTTAGCAATGGTTTCAAATAAGTTTATCAATTTAGCCTTCTGGCATGAAATACAGAGGGTACTGGAGCCTATGAAAAACTGCAAGATCCTTAGACTTTTTTTTTTGTTTCAATCATTGCATTTGACACGATAACAATATTATGGCCTTCCCATGCTGTCTCGTTACTTATGGAATCATGTGTCCAAATGGTTGTATACATGGAGAAACTGTTGCAGAATAATAATTGGTATTATGAGCTAAAATCTGTTACTTGCAGAATTGTTTGTCGTCTCTCGTTAGAAGTAGAACCAACAATGATGGTTGGTTTTGATATGCTATCTTATTGCTCTTTTGGTAAATATTTTCTAACCTTTGCAATGGTGAGGGAAAGGGTCGTCTTGTCCTCTATGTAAGGGGAAAATGTTTTGTAAAATTTATCTTAAAATCTCTTCTTGAGAGATAATATGGGGTTGGTTATCTTCAATTACATCTGTTATCTCAAAGGGTTTACATGCACTGTACGTATGCATGTATTTTGAACGTAATACATACAAGCAAAATGTTTGTGTAAGGTTTTTTTGTACTCTCCTCGTTTGTGTTTTAATTTATTTTTCCAGCTACAAACTTTGTAATTAAAAGTGAATTGGTTCTTTTCATTTTGCTTGCTTTAACAGGTGGAAGGAGAAAGAGAGTAACTCTGGCCCATGTTTTGTGGTTTGCAACAGGGTCAGATGAAGAACCCCTGTTGGGATTTAAATTGCATCCCTCGTTGCTCTTCACTGCAGCTGTACAGTCCTTTCTGCCAATAGCTAACACATGTATTAATGTGACAATGGCACAACTAGTTGGATGTGATATTTTGCTGGTAGGACTGGGTGGCCCGACACGATTCTAATAATTTGTTAAAATGGAAATGTGAGGTGTTCCCTCCTTGAGTTGTGGCGGAATTTCCCAGAACTCTTTTCGGTCATAAACGAGGCAAAGGTTGTGTTTGCGACACTAGCTTTCGTCAAATGGAGGAACAAGGGCTAGCGGATAAAGTGAGAAGGCATTTTCCAGCCAAACAGCAAGATCTGGCCCTAAGTTGTGTTTTGAATGCAAACTTTTGATTTCTTGAGTAAGTTTTGATCGTAATAGATCGACACTTTTTCAGTGTTGCTCTTGGAGCAGAATGCTGGATTTTTGGCATTTGTTGTTATATGAACGGTTCACTGCAATGGTAATCGAGAATCAGTGTGGATGTTTTAGTCTGCAATATAAAAAATTGGTGTATAAGACACAGCCATATAATAAACATCTCATTATCTGCGTTCGGTCTGTACCGGCGACCTCGGTCAAGATTTAGTTCTTATTAACCGAGCAGGAGGTCTGTATGGGAGAATCTTGACCGAGGTCGCTACAGAAACCGGAGTTAAGCGTCGGCCTGACGGACCACTTGGCTCGTAAACAGACTTTCGCCTACCTACCCACCTTGAGTATTTTCATCTAAATTTAGTGGGATCGTACATTGAATAATATTAAGAAACATATATGAACAGTCTAGGGATCATCTTGGTTGTGATTTCCCTATTCCTAGATTTAATATAGTAAACCGTGGTAAACATAGCATTAGGTATTTAGGACCCTGTCTGTGGGGAAAAATGGACAAAGACCTTCGCAACAAAAGAAGCCCTCGTGAATTTGAAAGTAGTTCGGGTCATCAAGAAGACTGACAAAGTTTTATCTTGCTCACTTTCTCTGTAATTTCTCTCTAAAATTACTTCTTAAAGTTTGTTCGCTGAATGTCTTTAGAAATAAAATCGAATTAAAAAAATATTCGGCAAGTCATCAGTTTCTCTGTGAAGAGAGTGACAGCTATAACCTCTCTCGGTATAAGAGATGTTTATAGCTGTCTAAATTTAAATTGAATCTGGTCCACATGAGAGGTGAAAGTGCTTGAAGATGGGAAAAATTTTAATTCAGTTTTTGCAAGCTTAGGACAAAGGAGAAATTCCTAGAAATAGTTCCTAAGGAAATGCAATTACCTACAGAGAAGATCTTATACTTGACTTGACATATTTTAAAGGAACTTTTTGTAGCAGCAAGTAATGCGAATTATAAAAAAGAAAAAAAAAAAGGTGAAGTTGTCACGTCTCCGAGCTACAAATTGGAGATTGGAGGCGATTCGGTCAACGAAGTGGACATGTACATCTGTGTACCCAGGCCGCCGAACAAATTGATTTCGATATTTGATTTCAGTAGTCGCTTTTAATTTTTATTTTCTTGCCAGTAGAAAATAAATGTTTCCCAGTTTAAATCATAATCATTTTTAACACTTTTCACGCGAGTTGATGAAACTGGGACCAATTGTCACCGTACGCTAAAACCGTTTAAGAATAGTTTGAGTAATTTTTGAATGTCGACAATCTTGAGTAAACTCTTCGTTTTGTCCGCCTGTTATCCTGAGGGAGGGGTAGGAGAGTGAATAAGTCAATATCTAAATGAACGCCAAGTGTGCTACATAATTCAGGGCTGTGCTTTACCGTTTTTTTTCAATGACCTCTGAAATTAATGCAAGCAGGTGTACGGAGCACCTTTCAGTCAGCCGAGGGTTACTAGAATAATAAAGACCCGCCGCTATACGAATGGTGAAGACCCGTAACAATTCTTTTCTCCTTTTCAAGATCAAACTGAGAGATCGCTTGAGTCATTTTCAATTCAATTCATCTTTCAAATGTTTCGCTTCTCGAAGAAGAGTCCTGGTCTCGATTGCGTAAGAGTGGATAACAATCTGTTCGATGGTCAGGTTACATTTTTTACTCTAAATAAAAAAAAGTCTGAACTGAACAGGTTCCTATTTGTTTAAGGGCTTCGTGTGACGCCGCACAATAAAGTTCAATGAGAATGAATTGAGAAGGAAAAGCGCTTGAGGAGATGACCATGGATTTACATCTGAGGTTAACTCAACTTCTTTTAATATCTTTGATCACAGCTACTTTAGTAGTCCTCAACCATGGTAAAAAGCCGCACATTGTATTCATCTTAGCAGACGATCTGGGTTTTAATGACATTGGTTATCACAACTCAGTATTCAAAACCAATATTTTGGACGGGTTGGCTCGCTACGGGGTTCGACTGGAGAACTATTACGTTCAACCTATTTGTACTCCAACGAGAGCACAGCTTTTAACGGGCAGATACGATATACACACTGGACTACAACATGGAATAATTTGGCCCTCGCAGGCCAACGCTCTGCCGAGTAACGAGACTACAATCGCAGAAAAATTAAAAAAAAGTGGCTACAGGACCCACCTGGTGGGAAAATGGCACCTCGGGTTCTACCATAAGAAATTCTTACCAACAAGAAGGGGATTTGATTCGTTTTGCGGTTTTCTAACCGGCGGACAAGATTACTACACGCATCGGAATCGACTTGGGTTTCCGGCATCGAGTTACAAGTTTCTCAACGGTTATGACTTTTGGCGGGATGAAAAGCCAGAACGAGATGTAGTAGGTAACTACACCACCATTCTCTTCGCTAAAGAAGCCGAAAGGATAATTGAAGAACACGACCCCAAAGACCCGCTTTTCTTGTTTTTATCATTTCAAGCTCCTCACTCGCCGTTACAGGTACCTGAACGATTTTTGAAGCAGTACAAAAGCATCAAGGATCACAATCGGCGCGTGTACGCCGCCATGGTTTCTTGCATGGATGAGGCGGTTGGAAACGTGACACGAGCGCTCAAAAACCGCGGTTTGTGGGGAGACACTGTGCTCATTTTTAGCAGCGATAATGGAGGACAAGTCACGGCGGGGGGAAACAATTGGCCGCTACGCGGTTGGAAAACTTCGCTGTGGGAAGGAGGAATAAGAAGCGTTGGCTTTGTGAACAGTGATCTGATTCAGAAGCCTGGGAGAGTTTATAGGGGACTGATGCACGTGTCTGACTGGTTTCCCACCATCTCGCACTTGGCTGGGGTATCGGTTTAGGACATTCCTCTGGACGGTGTAAATCAGTGGATGAGCATTAGCGAGAACTTGATGTCCCCAAGGAACGAAATCTTACATAACATTGACCCTATAGATACATTCTGGGGAAATCCTGATGGATACTCTCGCTGTCGTAGCGCCGCTATTAGAAAAAGGGATTGGAAACTCTTACTTGGCTGTCCAGGAAACGGAGATTGGGTTGCAGCACCAGAATCGGGTTCTAAGACCCAGTCCTCCTCCAACCAACACAGCGCAAATAGCGTGTTTCTTTTCAACATTACGGGCGATCCCCAAGAGAAGAGAGAGATTTCAGATCAGTTCCCGGATGTAGTGCGTGATTTACTCGGTAGCATGGACAAATACAACAATAGTGCAGTGCCCGCAAGGTTCCCAGACCCCGATCCCAAATCCAAGCCGCTAAATCATGGAGGGGCCTGGCGACCGTGGAAGGATTGAGTGATCATTACGAAATCAAATCGCTCTGTTTCAGTGTTGAAAACGATTTTTGGTTTTGCGACTTTCTTTCATGATCTAACCGATCTTATCCTTGTTTGAATAAAGGAGGTAAACTCCTAAAGATACTACGGTGCTGCGTTTGTAGTGGGTATGTTTCATGATCACATCTACCTTATCCTTGTTTGAATAAATAGGATAAGATTCTTAAGATACTGGGTGCTGACTTGATCATACAAATTGGTTACCATAGTGAGTATCAAAGGTGACATTTCAAGCATTTGCCCTTTTCCAGAGGAAAGCCCGACAACAACCCAACTCTCTGACGAAAGACGAACGCTTGAAACGTCAGCTGTAGCTCAGTTGATAAACTACACTATATTCTCCTTATTTTACTTGCTCAATGGAGAGAGCGCTGGACTGTTGTGCGGGAGGTCGAGGGTTCGAGCCCCGGCCGGACCGACACTCAGGGTCTCAAAATTATTGAGAAGAATTTGCTACCTTTCTATAACATCAAGAAATGGTTAGATATTCTAGTCTTCTCGGGTAGGGACGAATAAATGGAGATTCCGTCTCAGGGTTAGGGGTGAAGATTTGAATTTTCCACCCACGAGATTACTGCGTGATGGATGTCCTCCCCTGGGGTAGGATGGGTGGACTAGCACGAATGGTTCGTATGTTCCTTCTAGTCCTTTCTCCCTGCAAATAGTGCAGCGAAAATGGAGTAAATTAAATTAAAAGTATTGCCAATTTGGCACGGTGATTCAATCCTGTATTTCATTCGTGAAGTTTAACGAAATCTGCGCTTACACTTTTGCAGAGAGCCTTTTCAGGCTACCTACGTCTAAATATTTTTCTAAATCTTTCAGAAGTTTGCGTAATATTTGTCCACTGGCGTCAGAGGGGTTTGGGGAAAGGCTACAACAGTACTATACCCTACACAAAAACGAGACAGTTATGAATAATTTCATGGTGTTTACTGAAGTAATTCACAACGGAACGGAATAAAATATAATTGCGATCACCTCACAGCTTTTGGAAGAGGCTATTCACAGAGAGCAAGCTAAAAGCAGCTAGACCTCAGCAACAAACAAACACCATGACTCACGAAATTTAAGGTGACACTCTGATCAACAGAATTCTTTACAGTAAGCCTCAGGTCAAAAGAGGTTTTGCACAGCAGCCATGTTGGATGGCAGGAACAATGAAAATATTTTGCATAAGAAAGAAAATTTTTTCCATGGGTAAAATAATCTATTGTTCCTGCCATCCAACATGGCTGCTGTGCGAAACCTCCATATCACGACAAAATATTTGCACTTAATTAGGTTTGCAAGGCCAAAATGTTGCTTTCACCCTTTAAAACACAGATCAAATAGAGCACGCACTTATTTTTTTTCCATCTACTTCTGATATGATCTGCGCAAAAAGTTATTTAAATTTTGTTTAGTTATTAAACCACTCAGGAGTGGGGTGAGGGACGGTACACGATCTTGCGGCTCTTCAACACTGACCACTTGTGACGCTTGTAGTAGTATGAGGCAAACGTGAGGAATCCGAGAATTGTCATGGCCTTAAAAAAAAAAAAAGGAAAAAGAAAAAAAGAGAAAAGTATGCAAGTGTGGAGATTTCATTCTTTCAAAGAATGCTCGAGGAGAATGTTCCTTTTTAAAACAGAGCAACTTCCACAAGAAACAAGATTCATTTGTGATCGACCATGGGGTTTACGCAAACTACGGTGAAGAAAAACAAAGGATATTACAGGCTGAAAAAATATGCACGAAGGTCTTGTTAATTAAGTGTGAACAAGTCGACTCATCTGATTCATTTTACTAACTTGCGGAAAATTCCCCTTTGCAGCTAACTGCTCTAATCACGGTACATAGATCTACAGACACGCGGCTGCGTGTACAGAGAGTGTATACCATGATGTCTCAAGTCAAAAGTTATCACGAAAGATCAACACCGCGGCCCTTCATGTTTGCCTTTATTATCCTCCAGCCTTCTACGTTGGCAAGTCAGAAATACGTGTTATGTCTGGTTTGTTGTTCATGTATAATGAATATAGATTTGAATCCGCACCATACCTTCATTCCCATTCTTTTACGATCATCATGTTCAGGTTCTGCAAAGACAAGGAAATAACAACGAGCCATTAACAACAATTTGGCCTACCATAAATGCCGTATACGGAAACAAACTATATAATAAACCAATTAATGCCACGCTAACAAGTTGGAGACAGCTAGGAAATCTATACCATCATTATTAAACTGCCTCAAGCCATAAAAATATAATTCTGTCTTGGCAAAATTGAAACATTGGAATCAATACCGTGCGTGTTGTTTTATATGAGACTAACACATGATCTGCTGCAATCATGTCAGAGAATTTGGGAAAATGATTTTGAAGTTAACACTACATCAAATGCCATGATGTTTGATCGAGTAAACACAATATTGTACAAAGTGAAAAGACATTGAATTCCCACCTGCAGCCCACTTGAGGAACGTGCACACATCTTTAGCCAGCTGGCTGATTGTTGCAGGTGTACCTAAAATTCAACATGTATATCCAGTACAATAGTAAAAGATAAATCACCCCTTAACACCCTAACCTCCCGGTTAGCTCAATGGATAGAGCACTGGACTGTTGTGCGGGAGATCGAGGGTTCTAGCCCCGGCCGGTCCAACACTCAGGGTCTTAAGGTAATTAAGAAGAATTTGCTGCCTTTCTATGACATCAAGAAATGGTTAGATATTCTAGTCTTCTCGGATAGGAACGAATAAATGGAGGTCCCGTCTCCTGCAGGGTTGGGGTAGGAGATGTTAATTTCCCACACACGAGATTACTGTGTGATGGATGTCCTCCCCTGGGTGGGATGGGTGGGTTTACAGAGGGCCATGTGTTAGAAAACTCTTTACTGGGTTAATCATGTATTTACCCTCTTGAAATAAAGAACATTGTATTGTATTGTATTGTATTGTAT